TATTACGAACGCTTTATTTTTACTTGAGATACTCTGAAATACACACGTTGTATCGTATGGTAGTGGCAATTAAAACCTTGGTATTACGAATGCTTCCTTTTGCGAACACTTAATAGTTTGTACTTGAGACTGAGTGATTCATATTGCTACAACCCTAATCATCCACATTCAACAAATATCATACTGAACGAATTAGAACTATAAATCTTATAAATCAAAATCCAAAGGCTTTCGATAGCGGACCGATAACGTAAAGACCGAAAGGCAATTCAATATATGAATGTGTCGCCTCTTGTTTACTTACCGTTGGTCAATAAAAACTGTTAGTATTATAAAGTACCTGAGAAAATTCTTAAAAGTATTATCACAGTAAAACGACTTTGCTAGGAAATTTAGCTTTGAAAGCAGTTCGCATTTGAAGCTCATTTGAACATAGCCGGTTTCCCTTTATCTATGAGATTAGAAAGGATTTTATTGTCAAGGCATTTTTTATGATATGGCTGACAAGACAAAGAGGTAGTCGATCCTTGCACGCTAGTTTCGAAGTAGCTAGTGATGTTTGTATTGTCCACACTGACATAAAATTTATTTTATTATCTTTTATTATGCCCCGGATCACCGTCTGATCCTCAAGGGAATGGAAAACAATACACGAGGTCCGAACATTCGAAATACWACATTGTCAATTTTTCAATTTTTTCATTCATTGTTTTCTGTGTGTCCAAGAAAGTTGTGTGTTGCTACACGAAAAAGAGGGAAAAAGAGGCTAGTTGTCATTTTGCGTTTTTGTCCGCCATCGACATGCAATTACTGTGCAAAACTACTGATATTAATAATAAGAACGCGGTTTCACGGAAACTTTTCCTAATGCTTAACTGTTGCCTAAAAAGACGTCGAAGTGCTTCAGACCCGAAGTGTCTTACRGTTGCAATTTTTTTGCTGAACAAGGGGGAAAAAATAGCATCCTTACTAACCTTGCAAATACCGGAATCTTTGTTGGGGATTATCAGATGTTCAACTTTTAGAGCAAGTTCAGACAACGACGGAGGTACATTAAAAGATCCGGAAACATTGGCTTGAATTCCGTATGTTTACAACAAGTTCCTAAGGTATACAATAGTACAAAAACTAGAACTCTCTTCTGCCTTCATCAAGTGCATGTTTTCTTTAAAGATCCAATATCTAATAATTTCCCAAAAGCTTGGAAAAACATCTCTGCAGGCGATAGACATGATATAAAGAGGACGAACTGCGAATGTCATTTGACTTGATGTCGATAATAAGATAGAAGTAGACTACAACAAATTAGATTAGCAGCAGTGGTCGCCTAAAACTCAAATGAAAATCACCTTGTCATTGATCGTCTTTCTCTTAACAGTTAGAGTTTATCAATTATTTGATACGTATGTGGTAAAAAGATTTCTATAAAAAGTAAATAATAAAAATTGGTCCAGTACTTATTAATGTGGAGATTTTTTACGGTTATTTTTTCCATGGTCTATTCCTTGAGACCGATAAAATGCGTATTTCTCTTTATATAACATTATGTCCAGTTGTTTCTTGGATTAATCTATCTCTTTTTTGTTTTTTACTCTTAAGTTAAGTGCATATATTTATTCTACTGTTGAAAAAGTCCACTTAAGTCTTTCCATATGTCAAAGTTTAAGTTTATTTGATCCTTTTAAGATATAATTTGATCCTGGAACGAAATATCTTGATAGTAAAGTAGGATTGAAGAAAGACCACTACTATCGAAAGGTATTTCTAAATTGATAAAAAGAATTCTTCAGAAAATTTCTCAAAATAAAATAACTCTTTTACTTAACACGCATTATTTAAAGAAAAATGTCGAAAAATTGTTGACCCGAGACTCGGGGCATTTATACTTGCGATTTTTGCAGCGCGATCGCATTTGCTATCGAACAACTCAAATGGTTGCGTCGATCGAAAAACGCCGCGATGTTGCGGCCAAATTTCAAGCATGTTAGAAACTCAGGCGATGGTCGCGCGACGATAGCCACAGCAATCGCGCTGCAAAAATCACAAGTCTGTAAATAAACGGGCCTTATGGAACTTGAGAAATGACTGATTTAATTTACCTTCGTTCGTTTGCCACCAGATGTTGGAACTCGTTCTTACAAGTGTTCTCTGTTGTCCAGTGCAATTTGTAAGCGTTAAGGCTAACTTTCGGACAATGTTTCAAATATTTYGTTCTGGAGTTAGCCGGTCTAACCAAATGAGCAAAACCTACTGAGCATGCGCTTTAGTAACGTTTTATTTTTTTGTTAGACTAGCTTGAAGTGTTAGGAAGTGCGTAGGGTGRGMTTTTATCGCACTGCATGAGGCAATGTCTAATTTTCTTATTTTGAGTTGATCTAAAGGTATTCATCCAATGGAGTTGGTTCTGTGATGATAATACAAGTGGGATGCTTTCCGTTAATTTACATTCAAGTTCATAAGATGATGATTATGACTTCCGGCAGAACTAATACTGTAAACAGCACGTGAGTCTCTGATCACTTGATCACGTGATCACTTGCTTTGGAAAGTTGAGAGAGTTTGATTAACCGCTATGATGTTAATAGGGCACACTGCAAAATTGGTTCAAAAAATGCTTCTCGTGAAAAACTAAGAAAACATTTCGTATACACGAACGCAAATGTCTAAGAAAAAYAAGGGCGTCACCTAGAATGAGCTCAATARAGCGTCGTTCGTTGCGCTATGATAATTAAAAGTTAGTGGGTTCGATCGCTTAGAGTTGTTTGCTTGATTGATTGATTGATTGATCAGCGCCATCGAATATTTATAATGAGGGCACTATATGAATTATATTTATTATCGTTATTTTTTACTGATTATTATTGATTGATTGATTGATTGATTGATTGATTGATTGATTTTAGAGTGAGTGAGAAAGTGAGCATTGAGTCAGCTTCGAGTGAATGAGCGTCGAGTGAGTGAATGTCGAGTGAGTGAGTGTCGAGTGAGTGAGTGTCGAGTGAGTGTCGAGTAAGTGAATGTCGAGTGAGTGAGTGTCGAGTGAGTGTCGAGTGAGTGAGTGTCGAGTGAGTGTCGAGTAAGTGAATGTCGAGTGAGTGAGTGTCGAGTAAGTGAATGTCGAGTGAGTGTCGAGTGAGTGAATGTCGAATGAGTGAGTGTCGAGTGAGGGAATGTCGAGTGAGTGAGTGTCGACTGAGTGAGTGAATGTCGAGTGAGGGAAAAATCTCATAGAATTCGTACTATATAACTAATAACATAATTGTTGAGCACATAACTTGTACACAATATATCAATTATAACAAACGTACGAAACTTCGACTAAAACAATAATATTTGTCTTCCTCTCAGATCAGGAAACTWCGTATGATCTGACTTTCGATGTCCGCTTAGAAAAACAATTATTCTTGAATTATTTGGCTGTCTTTTTACTTTTGTTGTTGTTCTTTTCATTCTTTTTTCCTATTTCTCATTCATTTTTCACATGTTGCATGGGCTTAAATCAGGATACGCCCAGATTTTAAAYGGTAATATGCAATCTGAAACCTTWATTTTCTGTGATTTTCCTCTCTAAAGAGGGTCTATAGAATAACTCTGGCTGATGAAGTTTCGAAAGAAGTCAACTTGGATCAGCACAGCTTTCGTCASGCTTGCAAGATTTACTGYAACTAGTTTTGTTTCTCKTGTYCTGCRTYTGYCCAAATCGACGCTTCAAAAAACATCGAAATTCGTGGATCCTAAACGCATAGACCCATGGATTTACCGCAGATGATACAAACGATAAAAAGGCTACCCAAAACCATGCAAAATCGATCTTCTTCCGAGCTCTGCAAGAACCAGAAATAAATATCTCTACAATCGATGCAATGAGGGTTGGTATCCATARCAATACGAATAAACCAATSACAATGGCCACAGTAAGAGCAGCTTTTTTGTTTCTGATAGCTGCTTTTTTCTGCTTTCGACTGAGTTCATTCCGYGCGATTTTCTGTCTTTGATTCCTGGCTGCTTTGTAGATATGAAAATAGCAATAACCAATGAAAACTAGAGGGAGCAACACCGTTATCACTGTAGCTGTGAGCCATAATTTGGACAAATGTTGCGGCTCTAGAAAAAGTCTTAAAGATGCCAAGAGAAATGAAAAAATCCAGATAAAAACGATAAGYACGATAGCGCGTTTTTTAGATAAAAACTTCTGATAGTGAAAAACTGAATTGATAGCTACGAAACGATCATAACTGACAGCGCACAAACTTAGTGAAGTAGCAGCTGTCATTTGTATCCACATAAAATCCGCTGTAATCGAAAGCCAGTGGTCCCCCTGCCAGACCGCCAGTAAGATCTTAGCCACTAGAATAGGGTTCATAACGAGCCCAACAAGTAAATCAGCGACTGACAATGATGCAATTATACAGATTGAGACATTGCGAGTTTTTAGTTGAGATATTACGACGAGGACTATGGTGTTACCAGTGAGCGCGGCTCCTGAAGAAACACAATTAAGAACCACCAGAATAACCATTACAGATAGTTCCATTTTACCATGACAGTAATTCCACTGATTACTAGTTACATTTGAGTAGTTCATAGTGACTTTCGATCCTTTGGAGTTTGCGGCGACGTCTCCTTGATTTGCTTGTTTAGAAGTTTTACTGTTTCCAATGTTAAACTCGTTAGTGTCAACCTTTTCATATAGATCCGCAAGAGTTTTTTCGAGTAACCACTACAGGAAATATAGATATTGACTTTAAGAAGTGTATCGACAGCGGATTACTCTTTCCAACCAGACTCACGAGACACAGATCAAAGTCGTGCTCAATACTTAATATATTCCTCTATGAAAGTTTTCCTTTTTATCCAAAAAGAAACGATGAGTTTTGAATGATAAAATTCTCATTTGCTGTCAGGARCTGACCATAGGCTATCAAACGAAAACAAACCTCTTCGACATCATTGCTAACACTCTTCGTGTCGACGTTCGGAGCCATAAAAGCCTTTTGCAATAAAAACCCCCTTTTAAGTACACAAACGAAAGTGATTACATGATCAGAGAGCGTCAGATTTATTGATTAAAATTTGTCACGATTGTGTAGATTTGACTAGAACATTTATCTTTGGAGACACGCTCAAGGGGCCTTACATCTCACGAGCAATGTCCCRACCAATRAAAACAAAGAACTAAAAATGAACAAGTGAGCTCAATTACAAATTTTCACACTTTAAGATCAATGTTGATCATGGTTTAATATATAAGATTACATTTAGTGAATTAATTTTTTAACTTCAAAAAATAAAAAGATTACGTGAAGAATTCATATCGTGTGGGCTATATTAAAAATTCAGATGATTACATATTGCAAATGAACTTTTTCATGATTGAAAAAGAGTAAGTTTTTTCGTAAGGAGTTCACACCTTAAAATCATCAGAATCGAAAATCACATCAGTTTTGTAAGCTGTATCGTAAAGTTATCATGAAAATTAACCGTTACTTTCTATATTCAGTTTATATCATATTACACTGTATCACGTAAGCCATAAATATGCTGTAATTGAGCTTTTCCCTTGTTTTCAACGTTATCTAAAATCGTAGCACGTTTATTTGTGAATAATCATTATATTTCAACATTGATTATCAATTTGTAGAGAAATCGTTTTGCTGTTCATTGTAGCGTCCGGAAAGGCGGCAAGGTTCATGCTGGGCGGACTTTGCCTGAAGAAAAATCGTCATTATAACAAAAAAACAACAATTACGATTTGTTTATAGTGAGTTGCTACCCATTTGTTATATACGAATTTAAATTATGCATGAAGTTGTAGGTTCAGTTCTAGAAAGAGTATCGCGGGCGCCGGACAATGTCCCGATCAGTTGAAAACTGCTCAGCATTTATCAAACAAAGAAACACAGGAAACCCAGAAAGGTGAATGGCGTTGTTTAAATTACTTCTCTTATAACCAATCAATCAGTTTATTGTCCGATGTGGGGCGTGGTTGCCCAAGCCAGAGCTCATGTATAAAACACTAGAATAACCAAACAAGTTCCTACATTGCAAGCCTGATGGCTAAGCTTGATAAATTGTCTCAATCTTGAGTCTCAACCGATTTTCGAGACACATCGTGAGTTAGACCATTCGACTGCCATTTTTGTTTAGTGGTCATTTTTGCAGTATTAAACCGTTGGTTTAGTTTTTTATGATATTGTCATTGCTTTCTGTTATCGTTTGTTCATATCGTTACGTCATGTCAACATTACCTGCGTGGACATCATCATCATAATTGTCATCATGATTATCATGACATTCTTGTCAGTATTCTTGCTCACTTATAGTTATATATAGGGACTTGAATGTCCTTGGCGAAAGCTTGCTAAGGAGTTGAATTACAAGAAAGAAAGAAAGAAAGAGAAATAAAAGGAAAGTTACGTTGTATAGTTCAGTTGCATTCAACAACATATTCTCAGTTATTATCATCGTTAATAACTATCAGTAAACCGTTTTCAGTATCAGTAAACAGCGAGGCTCAATACTCATTTATGACTGCTCATTATTGTACAAATATTGCATCGTCACCTTTTGTAGTTTGTCATTATCAGACTGATATTCATAATAAACAAGTATTTTGGACACAAAGAAGGAAGTTCTAAACGAGAGTGAATATCGTGACTCGACGTTTCTATGATAAAAGCCTCAAATGCCCACTCGATGTTTGTGGTTGATAGGCCATTAACTCTTTTATGTTTTATGTTTAATCACCACYAATATCAATGGAACTTCAAATCTCTACGATTGACTTCAAGATAAAGTGAGATCTATTAGCTTGTGGTGCACTTCCTCAAATGTGCTTTSAGCGATCTCTTGATTAATTKGAACTCTAGCATTTTCCTTCAATGAAAGTGGACATATTAAAGAGTATCTCAGTATTTTGTCCACTTGAATACTAGTGATAAATCAAGTCTTCCGCTAATAAACTCGTTTTCTCTGCCATAAGTTAGATTATGTCAGTAAAACAGAAGACGATGAAACCGTCTTCTCCGAGCTATCTGAAATTGGACAAAGATTAAAAAAAAAAAAACAATCGCCCGTGACTCATGGGTAACTACTGTAAACCGGCTGCACTAAAGTCTAATATTTGGCGAATACGACTGGTCTCATTACCGAGATCGTTTATTGCTGTAAACATTGGAGATAATCTTTACAGGTCACAGCATTCATTTTCAGGAATTACATATCAAACTTCTAGGTTACTGGTGACGTTATTCCTCGGCAAGACGTCAACATCCTATGACGAAACCTCCACGTTTTTGACTGCACGTATTTCCAAGAAATAGAAACTCAGTAATAACTTTAACATCTATATAATTATTCAACGGCATTGTGGTCCTAAACGCCTTCATTCATGTCATCAATTGGGTCGTGGTCTGTTGGCCGACTTCTAAAGAACGTGTCGTATGCTAATTTACTTAACATCTCTTAAAACAATTTTATTATCATTTTCAAATAAAGTAGAGATCTTTGACTTTATTGATTTTATCCAATTCACGTCCCTTTGAAGATGCTCACAAAACTTGTCACGACTCGACGTCAAGTGATCACTCCACAAAYAAAGRTTGACGATCATACCCCTTCAATGACGTSTWTACGTTGATCTTGTTGTGCCTTTGGATGCTTTGTCTCTTTTTATACTTCGCTCAATGCTTCTCAATCAGTTGCGGGGTTATGTTTCCTATAGCGGMCATCTTGAATAGTGATAACGAGATGCCCGAGGTGTAAAAAACGTTATTTCTCTGATCTGAAATCCATCAGCAGTTTTGTCATATATTGATTAAGATCTGTTATATTAGCACAAAATTGAAGAGAAGTCTAATATGTATTTGCCTTCTGGCCATCACAAAAATGTCTGAGCAGACTGTTAATTAGTACGACTGTGTGATATCAATTATTTGGAATCATTACGTTTTGCACGAAGAAGGTTATTTTAATTAAGTTGATCATTTTTTGACAGACATTTTAATTCAACGGTCTTACGGTCACTAATCATTTTCTTTTTAGATGATATTGAGTTCATGTCGTAGTAGAGGATCAATATTATGGGCTATTTAGATTAATGACGTCACCTATCATGTCATTTAATGCACCCTGTTCATTTATGTTATCCAACTCATTTTATCCCTCACTGAATCATCCAATCATGTAGGTCCTTTTTTTCTGACTGATCAACCAATCAGGAAAGCTCTTTTATCTCACACCAATGGACCAATCATCAACCTCCTTTAACCTCAACGTCAACATTTCTGCGACAACACAAGATCCATCAAATTTTCAAGTCCAAAGCTCTCGCCGTGTAAATACAGCAAAATCAAGAATTTTAATTTTAAGCGAAGTTTGCTATGTTTGTGAAGAAGGCTATTTTTTTCTTGTTATGATCTTGTCAGACAATACAGCTGTGTAAAGATATGAAACACAAAAGATGTCGTCCTCGATCCCACAATGCAACATGCTGGGAATGAGCGGATGTGTGACGTAGGTTTGAAGTCCTGGGGTTTCTCAATTGTTTAGGCTATTCTATTGTGGAAATTGAGAATTACCGGTCAGAGAAAACAAGTTTCCAATTTTAAGGACCTAATTGTTTTTTCTTCAAAAGAAATTACGTATGTACTGATTTTGAACAAGGATTGCTCGAAATGAGTTTTGTGAAAATTAGCCGGAAGCACATCGTGTAGAATTCAAAACAATTTGAAAAACCTGCTTCAAAACTATATGACTTGTTCTACTAATGCCAGACGAGATTTTGCCATAATTATTATTTCAAAATTATAATCGTTCGACTAATCCTCGACTTCCAAAGTTACAGGGGGAAAAAGAGGAGAAAAGCGTGATTCTTGCTGTTTGAATTTCATAATTTTCAAAATATAGACTGAAAAGTTTCCTTTTTAATTCGTTTACTACAATGAGTTATTGGCATCATTTCTCGTTTGTGGCTTGTGTGCAAAGTGAGATCCTTATATCAAATGTTGTAAAGATGAGCACTTTATTTAGGTGGCGATCAGCGAACACGGATAGATTTAAGCATGATTTCAAGCCTGCGATCGGATGAATGGTCCAYATATGCCCGATCATAAGTCATTCTGATTKGTCGAMAAGCGTACTTCAGTTCACCACTAGGGCTTGCATGACTCGCTCTCGATAGCATTTAACTTTCTGAGGCCGGTTGCTACGAACGGTGAGCAGCGTTATCCACAAATCTTTTTTCAGCGGATAAAGTCGGTACAAAATTTGTAAAGTGGATAATTTAATCCACCCTCTACCGGCCCCTGTATTATTAAAACAATAATGATATGGTGGGAATTCCTTAAAGGGGGCCGCTTTCTTGTTATCCATGTAGCTATATTACCCACCGAAAAATTACGGCAATTTCTCCTTTATCATATAATTATCTATAAAATACTTCTATTTCTCCATTACATAAAGCTGTTATTTTTACTAGTGAAAATAGCACATTCAAGGGTTCTCTATATAGTGGAAGTAAGAAAAAAGCTATACGACATATGTAATTATAAACGCGAACGGGTGAGAGATTTTCAAAACGAGAAGATAAAATTCGTATCTCCAAGAGACCATGTAATATCCTCTTTATTTCTTAGTGAATACAATTGACTATTTTTACAAGATTTTTAGATTCTTTGTCATGCACGGGATAAGCTAGTAGCAAGAGTAGTACGCACAACAACTACAACTGATAAATAMAAGGTAKTTTGAAATTATTTGACAATTTAAATTTGGCTTTCTGTTATGAAGTAAATTACTTTTACTTTATATTTTCTATTGTGTTTACACAAGAAAATCAACAGAATCGCATTTTGTACAACAATTGTTTGTTCTTCTGTAATGTGATATCGCTCTTCAAAATATAGTTGAATAATATTAAATAATGGAGTATTCTTAGATGATGATGGCCTCAAAAGATCG